ACTAACGTTTCTTTATAAAAGAAGGAGAAGAGTAATATGCAGCAAAATTTTGGTCTTTTGTACCAACACAAGGGAGGAAGTAATAAATAACTCAAGATCATACATCTGGCCATGGGATTAAGGTCCTATTTTCTGAAGTGTGTCTGACGGAGCAAAGGACGTTTTTAGAGCAAAGGGAACCTTGCTCCTGCTTCCTTTTAGAAAGAGGTAATCAAGGCACACTGGCAACAGAAAGATCGAGATACTGACCACGAAAAGTTTCTCAAACCTGTCTGACAGGTTTCCGAGTAAACCTTGCTGAGGTCACCAGGATTTCCTCCACTGAAGTATCTCAGGAAATTCTCATTTCTATTATCTTTTAGAATTTACAGTAGGATATGCTGATACTCTAGTAATTAACTTTCAGTTACACTGATAAACTCACAAGGTGCTACGAAGTTGTCTAGCCTTCTCATCTGGCTGTTTCATGATCCACCCAACGTTAGGAGAAACCATTCTCTTTCAGACTAATAAGTTTTATCCTTCTCAAATCTTCTCAAATCTCAAGACAGAGAAAACAGTCCAACGTTAAGAACATCACTGTACTAGCACAAATGATGTATTCGAATGAGGGCCCCAAACCCGTGCAGACATTAAAGCAACTTTAGCCATGGGTAGAACACAGGCTCTCACGCATCCTCCTACAGCTTCCCTACCCCACTCCAGGAGAAAGAACGAGCAGTCTGGAGGAAAGAGCCTTGCGTTGTAAGTATGGGTTTGTCCCTGGGCTTCTGTCTAGTATATTATGCCTTCAAAAGAAACTATTCTGAGCTAGTAAAAAAGGGTATCGGAGGTAACTCCTGATTTCCACATTGTCACCTGAAACCTCTTACCTAAGAAAAAGCCAGTGACACATAATCTGATTACTTTTTGTGAAGGAAAAACGTTTCTGATTAATTCAGATAGCTTTGAATTAAAGTATATGCCCAGGAGGACACCTGATGGCTATTTCAACTTACATTATAATGAAATATGAGCTGCTTAACGTGGCTGGGAAGACAAGAGGGGGTATTTCAAATCCTTTGGGGATAATGGGGACATTTGTGCCAATGCTGTGTCCAATACTAGCCTACAACCTTTCCACCTTGAAAGCATCACTATGTAGACCTGATGAGCCAAGAGTGAGGAGCTGTGCCCCATTCCTTCCTTCCTTCATTCAGGAACCTTTAGCGGAGCACCTACCTCATGGCAGGCTCTGAGTAAGGCACTGGAACCAGAGAGATAAAAGACACAGTGGCCTCTTCCCTCAAAGGACGCCCAGGCCTACTGCAGGGGAAAGAAGTGGGGATAGTAAGTGGGGTCTGTTCACTGTGAATACTCATCAACATCCCACATACCCAGCTCAAGGCAACCTGCAGCAGGTGTCACTGTCACTTCAGATATGAAATGCCTATGGGACGGGTGTGAAGAGTCATCTTTAATGATGGTGCTATCATTTTAAGAAAACACAGCCATGGCAGGAAAAGTGCCGAAAGATCAGCTGGGACTGCTTCAGGTTTCGTGAACAAAACATTTTTCCCAGTCTGGACCAAGAGGCTTAGTGTGGTAGATTAATATGATATTGTCATTCCATGAAAATGAAATCCAGCACAGAATATCTTTCTTCCTACAGTATTAAAAGATTTAAAGTAAACAATCAGGCTGCTCCTTAACCAACAAATACGTTTTTCTTTCACCAAAACCAAACATGTTAATAAAAACAATGCCATAAAACATGAGCACTTGGGTTTCTCGAAGCAATGTTATAAGAATGAATTTTAACAACAACCATCACCAACCAAAACACAGCAGTACCAAAACAAAGAACCCACCAATCCAATCTGACGGTGAACAGACCCCACTTACTATCAAACAGCCTTCAGGAAACTTGCCACTCATTCACGCAACAGCTCTGCTGAGTGGCTTCAATGGACAGGGCAGGTGTTGTGCTATGCAGTGGGCTGGGGTGGAGTAAGGGACACACACGCCGGGAGAGGCTCAGTTACAGCAACGTGAACAACGAGCAGGAAACACACCAGGAAAGGAGCTGCCAACACTGCCTGCAGGAGCCGGAAGAGACTGACAGCGCAGGCAGTGACTTAACTGGCACCGGAAGGACGGACACGAGTTTGTGTGCCAGACGAACAGGGCAGGGCGTGCGAGAAGCAGAGACTACGTCAAAGGCACCCTGGGCAGAGAAGTCGGCAAGGGTCAAGGCCCAAGTGCTTCAAAGAACAAGGCCTCTTTCGGACACAAAGCCATTGGGTGTGGCCTGGCCAGAGCACTGACTGGGAAACAAATGCTGTGGTCCTGGCGTGCTGGACCTTGACTGCCAAGCTGTGTTCACCTTGGCAGGACATGGGAAGCAAGGGAGTGGTAAGATTATGTGTCTATGTCAGGCAGATGCCTGCTGCGTAAAAGTGAGGAAGAACTAGGAGAGGGCTGGATGACATTGTGAAGGGTCACAGTTATTTCCCTCAAGGCCTTTTGATCAAAGTAACTGGCACAGGGCAGCTATTTGGCAGGAGACAAGGCTGTCCTTCACTGCCCAAATGAGAGCAAGTCCCATCGGACTGATTTTAATTCGTATTTTTGTCAAGACCTTTTGCTGAAAACCGGAAGCTGAGGAGGCTGCAGCAAACGTCTCTTCTGACTTTCCTTTGGCACTATCAGGTCTCAAGTATCAGGGTTCTGCTGGGATAACAAAGCAGAAGTCTGCCTCTCTCTCCCTGGTGACCGTGAGACCCAGTGACCTTCACACCATCCTGCTGGTAAATTGGAGTCCTGCCTCCTCTTCCACCATGGGCTTGGGACAAACCGGTCTCACAGTGCCTCGGACGCTCAGCTTATACTCCTCCTGAGCCCGGACTGCTTTCTGTCTTTCTAATTCTCATACCCAGGTATTTTTCTCTCAACAGTCAACACAACATCCACTGACTGAGAAATCTGCTTCAATTACTATGAGGTCAAAATCTTAGTTCGGCTGTGATGCTGGACAGCTAATACAAATATGCCGAGCCCCAATTTCCTCACTGACCAAACGGGATACTGATATTTATTAATAAGGTAGCTGAGGATGAAAAGAAATAAGTTAACATGCCACCTGGCAAAGGGTAGGTAATTAATAGGAACAAAAGTTAACATTTATTAACTCACTGCAAGTGTTTTATCTATATCAACTCTTTTTGTTCTCACCACAACCCTACCAGGTAGGTACTATTAATTTGCCCATTTCAGAGGCAAGGAAACTAAGCACAGAGAAATAAAGCAATCTGCTGAAAGTCACTCAGCTTGTAAGTGGCAGAGCCAGGATTCAAACGCAGGGTGTCCATCGGAGCTCTGAGGCACTATACCATGCCACTTGATCTTACCATCTTCCCCTATGAATGTACTGCCAACTTCACTAATTATGACATCTCCTGATTAAGTTGGCTAGTTTTTCATGTTTACGTTGCAACCAAGCCTCCCTCTAAGCTCCCCAAGGGCAGAGACTTTACTGTGTCTTTCAAACAACCCTCTCAGCACATTACATAATAAACAGCAACTATTTGCTGAAGGAAAACTTGACTGATCTACTTACTGTCTTCCATAAATACTTTTCTATTTGTTGGCATTTACAATTTCAAATATGTTTTACAAGTGTACAGAAAAGAGTTCACATAGCAGGCCTAAGACTGCTATTCTCAGAAAGTCTGTTTACAAGGTTGGTCCTTGCCTGGCATCTGAGAACTTGAACTTTGGGAGAGTTCACACCATCCTAACTGATAAGAGCAGCTCACTGTGCCCGAACTGTTTGTGTAAACAGTGTGGCTCAATGCTGAATGCCGGCTTTCCTTCTGGGAGAGTGAAATTTTCGTACACGTCAGGTAGAAGGTGCCTATGTAACCAGCCCTCAACAAAACCCTTGGAAAGTCAACCACTAATGAGCCTCCCTGGGAGGCAACACTTCACATGCTGTCACACGCCACGTGCTAGGTGACTCCATCAGGGGAGGACTCCGAAGCGCGCGTCTGGTTTCCTCCAGGCTGTGTTGCATGTGCCTTTACCTTCGCTGCTGTGCTGTGTATGCTTTCAGTTTGATAAAGCACAGCCACGAGGAGGACTCTGTGTGTGGAGTCCTATGAGTCCTCCCGGTGAACTGTCAAACCACAGCAGTGCTGGGTTCCCTGACACAGGATGAATTAAGAAAACTCGCCCCCAAACCGTTACATGATGCTATCTGCTGAAAGAACATCCCCAAACAGTCCCACGGCTCATTGAGAAACGATCACGATGTGGAGCCTGGACACGGCATCACGTGCTCACTGCTGTGTTCAATCTCCAAGACGGGCCTGGAGCTCCAGTGGGCATAACTGCAGGGACACAGCTCCTGCGCTCCAGGAGCTTGCATGAGCCCAGAGAGGCAGACAGACAGGCGGACAGGCATGGGCCATGGGCTACAGTGAGGGGTGTACTCGGAGCCCACGGCATCCAGCAGGCCTCCGTCACGGGGGAAGTGCATGCCACCAGCCACCCGAGGCAGGCTTCATGGGCGCACGGTTGCTATGCCCTAGCTCTTCCCTCAGGAGCACACTTTCCAGGGCAGCAAGGAGGTGCATGGGCGTCCAGGAGACTGGGGCAAAATGGCTCAAAGAGTGCCAGCCTCACAGGGTTGCTAAGAAACACAATGGGCAAGGGTACACATTCTGGGCCCACAGCTGGGGCTCAGATCCCAGCTCCGTCACCTCCAGACTGTGGCACCTCGAGAAAGGCACCAAACCTCTGAGTCTCAACCTCCCCATCTGTACAATGAGGATGTGACAGTCTGCCTCCTGGGGGCTGCTGGGGTGAACAGAGTGGCTGGCACAGTGCCTGGCACACAAGCTGCGGCATTTTGGAAGAGGTTCGGGCGTGGGGCGTTGCGCAGGCTAAGTGCTCTCTAAAACTGAATTGCTACTAACGAGTACTATTATTAAAGAAACACCAAAGAAGGCAATACTTACAGTCTTTTCTTATCCACCACTCTTTTAACTCGGATGGCTCTTTGTTCTGAGTAAAGCTTACACACTCCTGTTGCAGGGGAAAACACCAGAACAGTGACCATTTAAAATGGCTTCTCAGGCAAAGGGGTCATTAATATAATGAGACTCTAAAGTCTTCAGCCAGCAAAGCCAAATTCTGCATCGCATCTATTCTGAAGTGTTACATTTGACCTTTAAAGAAAATGAAATACTTTTTAAGTAATCTTCAATGAAATCCAAAACAGCAGTCCTGTGCTCCTTCACTTGCTGGGAATGTATCTCCTTGTGGGCTGGAACAGAAAAGGACAGTGTTCAGGCCTTTGTCTTCAATCACCCTAAAGAACAATTCATCAGCTTCCTTAGAACAGTTTTTTACGGAAAGCATTCTTAAAAACACAGCCATAAAACGAGTCTTGTGACACTACATTTCTAAGAGTAAGATTTATTTGCTAGGCTTTACAAGAGTGAAAGATTAAGCCTGTAGAAAAACTAGAATTCGATAACCTACGGTGCACTGCAACGTTCGGGACAGTATTTGCCGCACCGCTTCTTGAGTGCTGACCTGCCTGTGTTAACAAGCATCCACTACTTAAGTTGACCCTCAAGGAGTGTCTTTAAATCAAACTTAATCACACTCCTCCCCGCCTGAGCCTGTGCTGCTTTTTAGCATGTAGTGTCCCATCCTCGCCCCTTGGCCACTCACGTTCTGAGGGTCTCTTTGACACCAAATCAAACTTCCCTTCCTTGATTCCTAGCTGCAAGGACACCTTTCTTCTGGGAACAAGCCCAGAGCCTGGTAAAAAGACCAGTCCTAAAGTCTGTGCTGCTGATTTTGGTAGACAGCTACCGTTTACTGAGAGACTGAGCGCCTACTCTGCGCAGGCACTCTGCTGGCACTTCACATAATATCCTGCTAGTAATCCAAACAGCTAATCCGGCTATGCTAATGCCACAGATGAAGAAACTAAGTTTCAGAGGCAATAAGGAGCCCAGGTCACAAGTTTCATACTTAATTGCTGGTTTATCAATGCTCCTATGTACTTTTTTAGGTATCTCAGAGAATTTACATGCTCTTGAGAGTAGGGGGCATGACTTATGTCTTTACTATACGGTTCCTTAAGTGAGATTCCTATGGCGGATTCAGGGACTCTCTGAAAGTGTCACACAAACTTTGTGTCTATGTGTATTTTTCTGTCAAAGATCTATTGCTTTCATCAGACTCTCCAAGGTCCTAGCAGAAGTGTCCCAAAAGTCTGTGTCACGAGCACAACAGCACCCAGCAGCTTCGAATGCTAGATTCTACTTAATGTACTCTGTATCTGCCTGAGCAAATTTAGAATCAGGAAAGTAGCATGACTTGGGAAGCCATCTTAGTGCCTCAGTGAGAATTAAACATCAATGAGTGAGAGATAATAATAACAACCCTAGGGCCAGACATGGCTCTAAGCCTGATGTAGGAATTTAACTAGTTCTCATAACAACCCTAAGAGATATATCCTATAATTGTCAACATTTCATAAACGCTGAGGCCCTGGAAGATTAAGTGACATTCCCAGGGCTAGAGTTAGAACTGGATGGAGCTGGGGTACACGCCTAAGCAGCCATGGCTTCAGAACCTTCCTCCTAAACATAAGGGTTTAATAGAAAAGTTTATTTTTTATTTTTTGTTTGAGTTGGAGTCTCACTCTGTCACCCAGACTGGAGTGCAGTGGCTGCTCCTGGCCACCACAGCCTCGACCTGCTGGGCTCCAGCGATCCTTCCGCCTCAGCCTTCCGAGTAGCCGGAATTGCAGGTGCGCGCTACCACGCCCGGCTAATTTTTTATTTATTGTAGAGATGAGGTCTCACCAAGTTGCCCAGACGGGTCTCGAATCCACTCACCTCAGCCTTCCAAGGTGCGGGATTACAGGCTGAGCCACTGAGCCCGGCTTGAAAAGTTTATTAAAAAAACTTTTTTGGAGAGACAGGGTCTTACTATTTTGCCCAGGTGGGTCTCAAACTCCTGGCCTCAAGCAGTCCTCCTGCCTCAGCCTCAGCTTGACCGGCTGGAAAGCTTACTGCAATACTACAAGTAAAGAGCTCAGTACCCCAGGCCCCCAGGCCCCGCCCCCCCACTGCCCACAAGTGCCACACACAGCAAAGGTACAGGCATGCCCTCTGCCCACCCCCCCAACACACTTTATCTCTGCTGTTCCTGGCTTTTGGTAAATTCTTGGTTTTGTTTGGAGAAGTCTTTTCCATCTCCCTCTTCCCATTTGTTTAAGCTCAAATAATGGCCTTTTCATTACTTTTACCAGCTTTGGCCAAAACACTGATCAGAAAAGAAAAGAGTTTAAAGTTTTAAAATCTAAGTCCAAATAAGAACATAGGAGGGTTTTTAACTGGCTGTTTATGATTCTTGTTTGCTCGATCGATTCAGGGCTGTCTGTCTGAATCTTGTAGAGCTCTGTACCTTCTGTTCGTAGTTGCTGAATTGCTTCTGAGCAGGTCCTCACGAACACCTGAGCATCCTGATCTATCTGGTCTCGTTCTGTGTCTGTCATCCGCCCATACTCAGACATGATATGGCTGGAAGAGAGAGAGAGAAGGAAAGGGTGGCAGCAAATGACAGCATAATACAGTTTGGGTGAGGGGGGAAGGAAAGCAAAGGCTTCCCGGATAAAGTGGTGTTTAAGCACAGGATGAGGAGATGGAACGGCCAAGGAAGGGTTCGAACTCGTATCTTCCATACATAATGGGCACTTGAAGCACAGTTGTCGAAATCAGTGAATGCTTGCTGATGATGCAGCCTCAAATTAGGTATCACAATAACAGAGTTATTACTGTTTTTAAAAGGTTAATTATCTGGCAAATCATTCCCAAAAAGTCCTCATGAGATGTGCATATACAAATTTATCAAATTTTATTTCTATTTCCTTTATAATATTCAGAGGAATAATTTTATTACAGATCTCAATTTGTCAAACTATTAGATTCGATTAAATAAGACTTAGATATAAATTTAGATTAGTCAATTTATTTCAAGGAGAAAAAACTGGGTTGTAAAAGCTTATTCACTAGTTCAAAATTTAAAGTAATAAACACATTTTTATTATTTCATTGATTAGAATATTAAGAAAGTGCAAGTCCAAAATCACAAAAATATTGCTGACACTCTTCTGCCTGTTAATTCAATATACAACTAGATACTTCCTGAGGATAGAGGAGAAGAGAGAATAACAAAATTTTGCACTCTGTTGCAAAGGTTCCTGAAAAGATATGGGCAAAAGTTAAACACTACAATCTTATTTTTGCTATATTTGCAGCTGTATTAAATTAACAGATTAATTTCATACTGTATACTGGGCATATACTATGGGAATGCGTATATATGCTGTGAAATTAATCTGTCCAATATGCATTACAAAATTAAACTGTGAATGCTGGCGCTACAGACATAAATCAAACATAGATCCTGCTTTCAATAAATGATATACAATCGGCTACAACCACAGGTTTATGCATATGCTCATATGTCATAAAACAAAACCAACAGTTACATAACATTTTCCATGCATTAAGACTAATCACTGCTCTAAACATTTCACACGTATTTCCCTACTTAACTCTCAAAATTCTACGAGGTGGTGCTATTACAATTCCCACTGTACACATGAAGCAGCTCAGGCACAGCCAGGCTGAGTTCACAGCCAGTGACGAGCCAAGCTGGGTCTAGACCAAGGCAGTCTGCGCAGGAGCCCAGGCCCGGCGCCACACCTGCCGGTGCCTCTCAGCTCCTCAGAAGCGGGAGAGTCCGGACGAGGGGTGCTGACTGGGGGAGATCTGGGAAAGAAACTCACAGACGGGGAGCAAGAGCTCTGAGTGCGTGCCACTGGGAGCAGAAGGAGTGAGCAAGCACAGGGTGAGCGGAAGGCAGGCGTCTGGGGGGCCTCGGGGCGTGCCAAAGGCCTTTTGCTCTGGGGCCAGCGGACAGGTTGAGCTGGGGGGAGATCGGAGTGGCAACACCAGGTCGGATGAACAGAGCGGGGAGGAGCAGGGCAGCGAATCCCGCCCCGCTCATCTGTGCTCCCCAGCTCAGCACACCAGACAGGCAGGTGCTCAGCACATTCTGTGGAGCTGAAGCGTAAGGGGCAAGGACAGGGAATCCCAAAGAGGGAGGAGGGATCGGGGGCAAAGCCGCCAGCAATAGCACAGACCGGGGAGCGGAACACATCAGGCCCCGGGACCTGGAGCCTGGGTGAGCAAGAACACAGAAGGAAGAGCACAAAGAACGGGAAAAGGGAAGAGACAACTCAACACCTGTCCTCATAAAGCAATTTAAAAGAAGCAATGCTCTCGAGACGACATGTTCCCTGACCAGCACTTTGTCTCGAAAAAGAAACAAGGGCAAATGGTCTTCTAACCATTTTGTGATAAAATCTTGAGAAACTAAAGGAGATTTTAAGTAACAATGGATCGTTTTCTAAAGTTCTACATCTTATTAAGGGAAAGGAAAGTCACTGTGACACACAGTGAAATGGCCACAAACCTGAGCCAGGGCTGAAGGCAGCTCCAACGCAATGAAAGGCTAACCAGAGCCCAATAAACTCAAAGTAAAAGACTCGTGCAGTCCAAAAGTTGTAACTAACAGATGACTTTCATATATCGGGCTCTCAAAAATATTTGGTTGCCTGGTTCTCATTTAATTTGCCTGACCTTTTAATCCCAGTCTTCCGGGGGCTACTAGGAGCGTCTGACCCGTGGGAGATGCTAGAAGTGAGAAGCAATAAGAGAATGGAGGCAGAGACAGAGAGAGAGCAAGCTGGTGGTGTATCGAGAACCCAGAACTCACAGCTCTTTAGCTCAGTTTAAGATCACGTGGGAATCATACAGATGGAGATATTGGCTTCATCGTAACTACTAATCTCAAGTGGGCCCCGATGGTACCTGGCAATGATGCCAAATGTCTCTAGTGCACGGCTCTCCCACCTCTATTTCCCCTCTCAAGCTGCCAACACCTCCTTCCTCATCTTCAGTGTCAGTGATCACTTTGCTTTCTGTTTTCTGAGAGCTCATAAAGCTCTCACCTCCCCACTTTTCCTCCCTGGGGCTCACAGATAGCAATCTACTTTCTCTCTTGCTTCTATGGAAAGAATGTCCACTGCCTAACCATGGCCACACCCCACCCCACCAGGACACTAGACTGGCCCCAGTAATTCTCCTTTCTCTCTCCTGCACCACCAACCTTGAATGAATTAATATGTGTGCGCAGTGCAGAGTGAACACTGTGTGTTAGGTACTAATAATATCGTTTTTCTCCTGTCTGCTGGATCTTCCCCAACTACATACAAACATGGTGCCATTTCTCCTGATGTAAAAAACAGAACAAAACCCCTCAATTTCATTCCAGATCTCCTACAAGCTACCCTTTTCAGTAAAACTTCTCTAAGAAATGTTTCCACTTGGCTGGGCTCAGTGGCTCAGGCTATAATCCCAGCACTCTGGGAGGCCAAGGCGAGTGGATTGCCTGAGCCTGCGGGTTCGAGACCAGTCCAGGCAACTTGGCAAGACCTCACCTCTACAATAAATCAAAAAATTATCTGGGCGTGGTAACACATTCCTGTAATTCCGGCTACTTGGAAGGCTGAGGCAGAAGGATCACCGGAGGGCAAGGACAGGGGCAGCAGGTCGATGCTGGGGTGGCCGTGAGCAAGCCACTGCACTCCAGCCTGGGTGATGGAGTGAGACTCCGACTCAAAAAAAAGAAAGAAAGGTTTCCATGCCCATTTTCCTGACCATTATCTCTTGAATCCTCATCACTCTGCTGCCATCCTTGCCTGCCATAGTCATCAGTGACCTTCACAATGGCTCAGTCCTCACGTCATTAGCCACCTTCCACAGCATTCAGAGTTGATCTCTTCTCCCCTTGCTCGGTTGTCTTCCTCTGGTCTCCAACTCTCTCACTGTCCTACCTCCTCCCCTGCTTGTTTCTGTTGACACACCTGAGCTCCGTGACCACTTTGTGATGATAGTGCATGGCTCAGTCCCCGAGTCTCTTTGCTGTCTGTACTTGCTCCCAGGCTGAGTTCATCGTCTCATGGCTTTAACCACCAACTTGACACAGACGAGTCCCAAGGTTGTATTTTCAGCCCGGACCTCTCCTCGAGTTCCAGACACCTATATCTAATGGACTGCACAACTTCCCCATTCAGATGGTGAATTTGCATTGCAAATGTGTCCAAAACTGAGCTCCTGACCTTTCTTTTCAAACAGGTGCCTCCTACAGCCTTCCCCATCTGTGCTGGTAGCAACTCCATCTTTTCTGGTTGCTCAGATCCCAAACCTTGGAGTCACCCTTAACTTTTTGTTCTCTCCCAGCTCACATCTAATCCATCATCAAAGTACTTCCAGAATCTGACCTCTTCTGATCCCAGTCACTGCTACCTCTCTGGTGCCTGCCATCAATACTTCCTGTCTGGTCTGGAATATCTACCTGGCCTGCTGCTTCTGCCCTGCCTTGCTTCCGTCCGCTCTAACACACAGCCATGCTGATCGCTTACAAAACAAGGCAGATCTTATCAATGCTGTGCACAGGACCTTCCAATGGCTGCCCACCAAGGTCCTCACAAGAACCAGAAGATCTCAAAAGGAACCGCAAGACCTGGTGTCCTGCTCTCTGTCTGGACTCGTTTTGCCTGTTCCCCATTCCTTCTCCTCGCCGTTCCTTGAACACTCCAGGCACACTCTCACCTCATGACTTTTCCACATGCTGGCTGTCTCCTCCTGGAAGGCTCTTTCTTACTGTCTGCACGAACGGATCCCTTGCTTCTTTTATTTTATTTTTATTTTTTGAGTTGGAGTCTCACTCTGTTGCCCAGACTGGAGTGCAGTGGCCGCTCCTGGCCACCGCAGCCTTGCCCCGCTGGACTCCGGCGATCCTTCCGCCTCAGCCTTCTGAGTAGCCGGAATTACAGCCATGCGTAACCATGCCCAGCTGATTTTTTTTTTGGATTTATTGTAGAGATGAGGTCTCGCTGCCCAGGCGGGTCTCGCACCCGCAGGCTCAGGCAATCACTCCCCTCAGCCTCCCAAAGGCGCGGGATGACAGGCTGAGCCACTGAGCCCGGCTCCTTTGCTTCTTGTAAATGTTTACTCAATGCCACCCTCCCAGTGAGGCCTTCCCTAGCCCATCCTTATAAAATTGTTCCCTCCCTGATATTTTCCATCATCTATCTCTTTTCCCTTCTCCCCAATATAGTAACACTCGCCCCACTTTAACATTCTATAGATTTTAGCTAATTATTGTTAAACCCAGAACTCTAATCAGAGAGAGAGAGAGAGACCACAAAGAGCCAGCTCCGATGCAAACACACGAGGGTCTTTATTCAGGCTCGAGTCTGGGCTCACACATGAAGCCAGTAGAGGCTTCATGGACGAGAGCGTTGATCCAGTATGGCAATCAGTTTTTATGCACAATTACAGAGGGAGGGGAAAGAACTTTAAACTTGATTTTACATGATTGGGTAATTTCTCCTAATGGGTACGGGAACACTTGGTATTGGTAGGTGCCTTTCGTGGGCTGTAACCTG